CCCCTTTTCTTTAAAGAATAAAGTATAAAATTATTAACATATCCCTAAAGCTCAGCATAGTCTGGCTTCTGCATACTCCTCTGTCAGTATCTTCTAATACTCTCTCTGAAAATCTCTGTACTCCAATCACATGGGTCTTCTGTCAAGTTCTTAAATGCATCATGCTCTTTATATATCCCTCTGCTTGTCACAGGGCCTTTGCGTAGGCTGTTCCCCATCTAAAATGCTTTTCTGTCCCTTTTCACATAGTTAACTCTACTTTATCCCTCATATAATACTTCATTCATCATTTCCTTAGGGTTTAGATCAGATCTGTCAGACAGTTTCTTGACCTTTCAAATAAGTCATGGTTGGTAATGAATGCATTTATTTATATTTGTCTGATTATTTGATTACTGTCTCTCTATCCCACTAGACATTAAGTTTCAAGAGGGCAAGGACCCTTTCTGTGTTGATTGGCAATTTATCCTCATCAGAGTAGCATGTCATCAATGGGTACACAATAACTAATTGTTTAATGAGTGATATAAAAACAATATTGCAAACTGCTCTATCCTTGATAGGGCTATCCTTGTGAGAGACAGGGTATGCATGACTTCCCATGGGAAACCATTGCCTTTTGTATTAACAATTCTTACTGCTTGTTTCTCTCATAGTGAGTCTAAATGTCTCTTCCTTCTACATGGTCACAATAAGGTCCTACTTTCTTCCATGCATAGCCGCCTTCTTTGCATATTTATTAGTTCACAAATATTTGCTGATTGCCCAGAATGGGTAGCACACTAAGCCTAGTGGGGTATATACAATGAATAAAGGTATGCTTCCTATACTTAGGATTCTTTCAACATATTGGAGGGTGAGTCATACAACCAAAGCTGTGATGTAAGAAAGTATATATTAAATCTCTTAAGAGAGGTACAAGTTACCCTAGGGAGAGTGATCCTATCATTTGAGGAATCAGTGGCCACTTCCTAAGTGAGGGGACTTTCTGAACTAACACCCGAAGGATGAGTTAGGAGTTGTACACATGAAAAGTGGAGGGGAGAGAAGAGTGGGGGGATATTGAGGCATTCTGTACATTTGCAAAGAGTTGGCATAGTCCACAATCTCTTTTGTTCTTTCAACTGTTCATTTGTTCATTCATTCACTTATTCATTCATAACAAGCACTTAAGGAGTCCTTCCAATGTGCCAAGTATCTTGGCATGGAAATATTATATGAAAGAAGACAAGTCCGATGCTCTTCTGAGGATTATGTACAGGTATGTTCAAATCTGTCTATATCCAAGAAACTCTCACCTAACATGCAGAAAGTGTTGCTAAAAATACCACATGTTCATCCCTACAGGCAGATACCTGCCTAATACTTCATTTCAGGCCATCCTGGGGATGCAAATGTCCTGTGGAGGTCCTGTCTGCTTATGAAGGTCAGGTGTTCTGATGGCAAGACTGAGTTTATACCTGGCTGAAAGAGTCTGTGTGCTGTGGTTTCAGAAGCACAGAGACAGTCAAGAGCTTAAAACAAAAACGATGCTACATAAATGTTTGTTCTTGTTGTCATTACTGTTATTACCTACTTGGGATGGTGGGAGAAGGCAGAGGGAAAGGATTGGTGAGTTGGAAGAAGTAATCTTTGTAGGGAACTGCCCTGTGTTTAAGGAAGACAGAGAGGAATCCATGGGGCTCACCTCCTCCCAGTAGACTAACACTTTTAGCCCAAACTTTCAAACTAGTCCTACACTTAAGGTAGAAACATTCAAGGAAGTTCTCTGCTCAGTAAGAATGGAAAAAAGAAAATTAGAGGTCAATCTATATTTCTAGGAAAGTTTAAAATTCTTTTTGTACTCTAGGCCTCTTTATTTTTTCATTTCCTTGTTTTCAATTTTTTTTTTCCTGAATCTATCTTGTTAAAGCAACTTGCTCAGCCTCCTGATCTCCCACTTACCCCTACCTGATTACCCCAGGGGGGATGGTTTTTCATTTGTATGCTCATCTCTATTTTGAAAAGGTGAAATTCAGTCGAGACATGAAGAATTTGAGGAACTTGACCATACTTAAATAAATACAATAAATATACTTCAGGTACCACTCAGGAATTCAAGTTCAAGGGCTATAAGCTAAATTCTTAAATCCTTTGTAATGAATTAAGCTGTAAGGAGAGATTCTTAAAAGGGATAGAATTATTTAATCTCCATTTGCCTCCTGTGTTCTACTGAAATGGAACTGGCTCAGTGCTTTCCACTCTCCACTCATGTGATCTTTGCTAGGATTTTTAGTCTGGGCCAACCCAACTCCAAATCTATAAGGTTCTAAAGAATCAGCAGAGAAAATGACATAGGGTGGAGAGCAGGTGGCTTTGAGAGGCAGTATTAACTATGTATATATGAAATCACAACAGGCATAAATATTTAATTCCCAATGTTTGAAAGAGAAAAGAGGGTTTCTTTGAAAGTGGACTTTAATTCATATGTAAATTAATTATAATTCATGACATCCCTTGCACAAATCATTATTTCAGAAAACGATGCAATGATTTAAAACCAATATTGACATTTTGAATGCTACAATACTTTTTAAGATTTATTGCAGTATATTTTCTCTTCCCCTTAAAGAAGACCTTCTACCTTGAGCAAGATGAAATGCAAAATAGAGGCCACATGGTTTCTATTTGTCAAGATTGTGTAACTGGGGCTCAGAGGAAACCATACATGGGGTCCTCTGGGGAGCAGTGGTGAGGGTGGTGGCAGTTTACACGCCTGTCCCACTGGACTGCATGCCAGCACCTCATTATAACCTATGGAAAGGTCACCTCCAAAAGTTAATGATCTGTGTGTTTTCCTGGGCAACCTGTCTGCTCTCTGGTGATCTTTAACTTTGGTATATATCTACAACTATCTCCCCATTTGATCTCCTGTCATAATCAGCTAAAAAAAAGTACTTAAAATCTGGGAACTGATTAGGCATCCATACTGTGTAAAGAAAGCTGTTGCCACATTGGCCCTAATTTAAGGACAAACCATCAGTAGATGGGGACACTGGCAAAGAATGAAAGTTGTGTGCTGATGAACAAGTACAGGATCGGGTTTTGTGAAACAAAACCATTTCCTTTGGCCACACCGTGATGCAGAAAGCAGATTTGGTAGCCCAAACGGGAGCTCCAAAGAGACCTAGTAGGGGTTGACACATCTTGTGTAGTACAGTTTGGGGCCTGGGTACATAAAGTCCCTCTCTAGCTCAAAAGAATCTCCCTTACCAGTCCTCTGCTCTCAGCATTAGAATCAACAGTGGTGTCTATGAAGGCCATTTTCATAAAGATGTCCCAGTTAAAAAGCACAAGTTATAGAACTAAAAATCAAGATGTGGTTTCCCTCTTTTCTTCTATCTCCTACATCTATTTTATTAATAACTGCAAACCCTCTGGCTCTATGCACTACGTCACTCTCCAACATGTCCTCCTCCATCTCCGCTACCACCAGTCTGGTCCACGCCACCATCGTTTTCCATCTGGGCTTTGCAACAGTTTTCTCGCTCGTTTTCCTGCTTCCATTTTTGCCTCTTGAAATCTACTATACTTTTCCAAGTAGCCAGAGAAACACATTTTTAGAAAATGTGAATTAGATCATGCCGTCCTTCTGCTTAAAAATCCTCCAAAGTCTTCCCCTTGCACTTAGAATAAAATCCAAATTGCTCGCCCTGGCATTCAACTCAAAATGTTCTTCCCACAGCCCTTTGCATGCCTAGCTCTCTCTCATTCATACATCATCTTTCCCTCCTACCCAGATCCATCTAAAGAGGTTATCCTTCCTACACACACACACACACACACACACACACACACACTATGCATACCCTCCTCCTCCCACTACTATGCCTTCAAAACAAGTACCACCACGTGAAATTTCAGCACTCCAGGCATTAAGTCTCTCTCATAAAGACTCTGTTCCTTTACCCTGAGTTTAGCTGTCATGTTCAGGTGCAGACTCAGAAAGAAATAAGCTCTAATCATTACTTTTCCTTAATGACTGACTCACAAATTCACTACCCTTTGTTCCTTTCCAGACACCATTCTATTTAGTCCATATATATTATGCTATAGTTTAAGCCACTATAGCAAAAAAATCACTATTTTTGACATCTTTCCCTCTTCTCAAATTCTTGTGCTTGTCTTCTCCTTGCTAATATTTAAAAATCATTACCAAAAACAAGGAAGGCCTTTTCAACCCTATTACTACATCTTTCTTTTCTCATCCCTTATTACAATGACACTCCTTTTTTTAAAAAAAAAACAAAACGTACTGCCTCACTACTCTGAATGCTTTTCATCCTCCAGGGATGGTGAAGGAGTCCTGTTTTTAGAAACTACACTGGTGAAACTCATACCTTTCACTTTGGGGCCAACTAGGTTTCCCATTAAACTAAAAGCTCCTTGATGACAGTGCGTCTCTAAAGGAAATCAGTAATTTTATTCACTTTGAAATGGTTTATAGAGCATTGGACCCATCGTTGGTACTTAAATATCTCTTATCAAATAGTACAGTATCCACAACAAAAAGATGCAAAGGGTTAATATTTTTAAAAGGCATTTGAGTTTTTGAGTTATTCGAGTTCTTTCCAACCCAGAAGAATATCAAAGGAAATTCTAACCAGATGTTTCCTCCTCTTTTTTTTTTTTTTTTTTTTAATATTCAGAGAATGTTCTATCTCTTTGAGGGCATGTGTAGCTCTCATCATATATTTGATCAAATGATTTCAAGTATGTACGCTGGGCAAAGAATGGCGGAGACATACAAGGCAAATGATCTCCCTTCCTTCTTACCTGTCCTGGTTGCTATTGTCCTCCCACAAACCCAATATCTGACATGTGAGTGGCATCCAAGATATACAAAGGTGATGAATTCATGTAGCTAATGCATGACAGAGCCAGTATTCTATTAATACGCCAGCTTTGTCTGATTAAAAGCCCATGTCCCACAACCAAATGCAGTGACCTCTTTCATTTACCTGAGTAACTGTGGTGGCGTTTTCTGGTGCCCCTCTTTGGTCCTTACTGTATACACTCCTGGACTATCATCATCTGTGTGTCAGTTGTTTTTCACCCCAAGTACCTGCCTCAGCTCTGGGTTATTCCTTGTACAGCATTGTATAGGAGCTTCAGGGCCAAAAAAAAAAAAAAAAGAGTCCTGCTCAGTGGTGTCTATCAATTATTGTGTGCAATTAAGAAATTCATTTTACAGATAAGGATCTTCATTTATAAGAGAAGTCCAAAGTCATGTCCAAAGATGATTGATGGTAAAGTAGATTCCTGAACCTAATTGACTTGGTCCCCTCACATTCTTTTATGAACAAGGTGGGTTATGAATAAATAAATCATCTATCTCCTGGCTCCCAATCAATACTCTAATACTACAATGGCTGCCTAAGTCAACCCTTTTGACTCTTTAGCCCACTCTTATTTTATAATCTAGATGTAGCAAGATCTGAGGTGAAGAAAAATGAATAGTCTAATGAACTTAGAAATGATAAGTTTTGTTTTCCTCACCATTTACCAAGTCCTGCTGTTATATTTACTACCCAAGGATGTGAAGTATTTATTTAATGGTAAAATGCCAAGTAATCTGACATCTCCCCCCAGTTAAAACAAAGGCATCTCAAACACAGACGGATACACGTCTCATTTTGCAACCTACCTTTGCTTTACAGTGATGCTTTCTCAAACTTTGTGAATGACAATGCATCCTCACACCCACCTCACCTCCCACCCCCGCCACTGGCTTTCCTTGAAAACATATAATCTGGTCCACCTGCATTTTTGTATGTTTAGGCTCCAGCAAAGAATCCATTATGAAAATGACAGAACTGCCAGAAAGAATTATGACTTCACTGCTTAACAAGCTGTGAATTCACTGAGGAGGTAGCAAGGCAGAGGAGCAGAAAAACAGGAGGAAGAATATACATGAAGGGAAATTTGCCCTGGGCTTTGCAACCTCCTTCTGTAAGTCATTGAGAATGGTTTTACCAGCCTTCCAGAATTAACGTATTTGCTCCATAACAAACCACCTTATGTCTCTTTCCATAGTACAGGGTAGGATTTTTGCCTTTGGATTGAAGATGATAATACTAAGAGTGATGATGATGATGATGATGATGATGAATGTACCTACCACTTATTGAGAGGTGACTAAGTGCTAGCACTAGAGGTACCTAACACAAGTACCTGCTAAGCCTTTGTATACATTACATTATTTAATCCTCACAACTCCCATTTAAATCATTTAAAGACTTCCCATTGCCTTTAGGATAAAGTCCAAATGTCTTAACTAGTTTATGAGACCCTCTAAGACTTCCTGAGCCTTTGCCTCTCTCTCAACCTCATCTTATACCACTCTGCCCCTTTCTGGAATGGTCTGTCTCATCTACACTCAAACATTTTTTGTTTTTCCTGTGTTTTGTGATTTATCTTGCCTATAGGCCTTTAAGTATGTTCTCTTGTAACCACATCTCTTTTACTATTCACCTGACTAACTCACATTTCCCTTTAAAACCTTAATATATTTTTCTTAGAGAGGCTGTTTCCAATTCCCTAAACTAGTTAAGCTTTCCCCCTGTTGCTTGTTTTCACAGTTCACTCTATTTCCTCTTTTGAAACTCAGGACTTGAAATAACTATATAAACATGCACCTTTTCTGCTAGATTTCACCTCTGCAAAGGCTAGCACCATGGCTTCTAATTTACAGTTATTTCACTATCCTCTAAATGAATGCCTGACACATGAGTAGACCCTGAATAAGTGAATGGAAATCAATTATACGCAAAGTCTGTATGTGAGTGTTTCCATTTCTTAGATGTCGACACAGGTTAAGGTGTTGGGGGGGGAGGCAGTTTAAATAACTTATAAATAAACTTATAAAATAAAAGATACACAGTTAGAAAATAAGGAAGCCAAGCTTTGAATCCAAGACTTATTTCCAGACTCAATTTTACAATCATTTCGCAGCACTGCCTTCTCAAAATTTCCTCTAGCTGTCACAAGGAAAAGAAAGACAATTACCATAGAATATTTATTTTAGAGAAAAAATTGAGTAGAAAAAGCTGCCAGGATTCAGGGAGGTGATCTTTCTCCCATCTGATTTCTGAGTTATATGAAAGAAATTGGATGATGTTATATCTTTCTTCACCCTGGGTGTGATGGCGTACCTCCCTAAACCACGGCTTCTGCCTCTCCACTGGAGGTGGTCGTGGGTAATGGGCAACCTATAGCTACAACCTTTAGTCCTTCCCACAGATCTATACGGAAAAAGAGAAAGTGAGCATCTCACATTCTGAGGAAGGTTGCCCAGGCAACCAAGACAGAGCCAGAGCAACAGACCACCCAGCTGAGACACGCTGCAGCGTCTCACACTCTCCCATACCCATGCCCCCTTCCTGGGATGGCATCCAACAGTGTCCCTACACCCTTTTAATGGGGTGTCACTGAAAGAGGCACCTGTCCCAACTGGACACAGTTTGCAAGGACATCTCCATGGACAGCCAAAATAATAGCTCCAGATCCTTGCTATGTGCTCGAGTGATAAACCGGGCATCCTCAAACTATGGCCCGCGAGCCTCATGCCACCCGCCTAAGACATTTATCCGGCCCACTGAGTGTTTTTGCCACCGCTGCCTGTCCTGCTTAGCAGCCGACTCATCCTGGGCCCACAGTGCGCACTCTCCAACAGTCTGAGGGACAGTGAACTGGCCCCCTATTTAGAAAGTTTGAGGACCTCTGGATAAACCCAATGTTTGATCTGTAGACTATGCCAGAATAGCAATTCTACAGGTGAAAAGCTCAGGTGTTCCAATTTTGTGGCTTATAAGAAGAAAACAAGTTGGCCACCAAATTAAACATTTATTTTAAAAAAATTAAGTAAGACCAGTTTATATATAATGGCAGCCCCTGACACAGCTCTGCCTCTTAACTGCTGTGCAGTTTTTTAAAAGTTACTTAACGTGTTAATCATAAACTGGCTCATCTATAATATGGGCTTATAAATTTAAGTGGTTCCCAAAGACATTATTTTGTGAGAAGTGAGAAAATGCACATAAAGTGTGTGATGTGTGGCACACAATCAGTGCTTAAATGAAGGTGATAGCAATTATTAGGGATTATTAATATTTGGGTTTCTGGAAAGGTGGCTGGACAGAAAAGTTGGCAGTCTCTTCTTTTGAGTCTATCTGCTGGTTTACGGTTAGTGGCGAAAGCAAGCTGGCATCATACTCGCTCCGGCAATAACCAGCGACGTGAGCTCTAAACCCCTCCTGGCACAGGCTGTCTTCCCCGTGCACTATAGAGCCATCACCAGGCCTAATACAGCGCGAAGCACACAGTGGGCGCTCAGGGAGCGCGTGTTGGAGCTGTCAACAGTGGGATGTGCAGGCGGTTTAAAGCACCGTAGGCATCTGGATCTTTAAAGGAAACTGTACTGTCCTAAGAGTCATTAGATGAGTTCTTCGGGGAGGGCGGTAACAACGCGCCACCTGACTGCTTTGTTCAGAAGTCCTTTCCCACTGAGCTACCCCACAAGAGATGCTGTTCTTTGCTGCATAACCACACGGCTGCCAGTCCCTACTAGGAAATGGCTTTTCACGATGGCTCGCCAGTGCTTGGGCACGGAGAAGAAAGGCTGGCCACAGGGGACAGAGCCCCAAAGCAGGATGAAGCTTTCGCCAACCTGCTCCCAGCCTCTGGCACACTGTGGTGGCCTGTTGTGCTGTGCGTGTGTGCGTGTGTGCTGTGCGTGTGCGTGTGTGTGCATGTGCATGTGCGTGCTGTGGAGGGGGGGTGAGTGGGTACATCTGCAGTTCCCATCCCCCTTTGAAAACCAAGTACAAATCTCAATTCTATGAGAAGATTGTTCTTCAGGCATAACTTAATTCTCTGAAAGGATTTCATCCTTTGGCTATTGAAACCTTTTCCAGGAGAATTAAAATGGAAAATGTGTAAATGAGCCCGTCTCTAAATTAAACTGTTTCTGGCTGAGCAGACCAAATGAGCCTATTCTAGGGTGCAGAGTACACTACGTTGGCTCTGGGCTTTGTTCTTGAGTTAAAAAATTTCAGAGAGGAAAAGCGTTCTAGAATAAATAACCTCCAAATGCTAACTTTGCAAAGCTAATACTAGTGACTCATTAATGTTTGTAAATCGTCCAGACTTTGCTATTTTTGAAAAAAAAACAAACGCCGTGAAGTTGCTAATTAATAAAAGATATCATGTCTTATTAACGTTCATATAGTAATTACCAAAATCACAAATCCATCTGCAAAGTAGTCAGCAAACAAGACAAATGACTGTGCTCAGTTAAACAGATTATCGAATGCCTTGGGGAGTACAACCTAATAGCCCCAACTAAACCAAGAATCAAACAGCCACTCCTTCTGCCACGTGGACGGGCAGCCACGATTCCATCTCCCACGTGCAGCAAGACAGAGCAGCGGGGACATCGGGCCACTCGCCCTCTCTAGAGAACATGCTCTTGTGCGAGTGTCAATGGCACTCATGTACCTTTCTCTTACAACCTTTGTGCTGCCTCCAAGATTTGGTTTCTTAAAAAGACACAAGGGGAAAGACCCAAAAGATGTCAGCCAAAGTTAAATATAATCCCATAAGCTTCTGCGTGTAAAATGCATACTGGTGACAATTCTCGGTTCCCAACACAGAGAAGAAATTTTATCTTTCTGTGAACTTCTGTGTTCACCCAGTTCATCTCTACTGACACTTCATTATCTGTACGCATCTCACGTCTCCCCAGATTAAGAGCAGAGACCGTGTCTTAGCAGTCTTGCAAGTATAACAACAACAACTGATAATAATAACCATTGTGATTAAGATGCCTACCATTTCTTATGACCGTAAGTGTGCCAGCCACTTGGATGAGTGATTTAATTTATTTAACTTTGAATTCTGTAATCTTTGTCATTTAAGATTCACAACAGCCACTTGAGGTAGGTAACCCTCACTTTACCCATGGGGCAATTGAGGCTCTGAGAGGCTGAGTGACAGAGCTGGGATTCATTCCTAGATCTGAAAGATTCCAAATTCCACGCTCCGAAACACTATGCTACACTGTACTTAATCCTACACAGTGCCTAGGTCAGGGGCAAGTAAACAGTAGGCACTGAGACATGTTGGTAGACTGGATGAATATCGTAGTATCAATTCATTCCTGCATTCCCTTGGTCACTCGTGTTAAACCTTCACGGTTTCAGCTTTCCTGGCTATTTTTCCCAGGTGTGCATGATGTTAAGGATTATTTTTAGTACTGGGTATCCTAAAATGTCAATAAAAGCTCCCCTTACCTTTTTTATATCAAAATAAACACCTCTCCAGGACTCTACCTCCTAGTTCAGTGTCTGTCAGGCTGATAGTCACAACAGGGCACATGCGATGGCTTTTCATTTGTATTGGTGTTACTCACATGTTGGACTGTAAGCGAGACAGCAGGAGGTGGCCCACTGTACCTCCTCCCACCTCTCTTCAACATCCTGGGCTCTACAGCCACCTGGGGCGGGGAGCTCTGGGCCTGGTGGCCACTGACTTCACAATAGTCCATGTTTCCTATTGGTGGGGTAGCGGGCTTTTGCTAGCTTAACCCAATCAGTACACAATATCCTCCCTCCGTCCTCCCGCACAGCCCATGTGCTTGGAGGAAGCACACCCGCTACCAGCTCTAGAGTAGAACCTCGGTTGCTTTAAGCCAATCAGCACATCCCGTTGGCCTTGCTGCAGTGATCAGTTCAAATCAGAAGACTCAGCTCAGACCAAGGAGAAGCAAGGAGAAGTTTGCTGGGGCTTCTGGGGAAAAAAAATGCTTCCTGGCTCAGAGAGTTACCAGGAAAGAGAGTCTCTCTCCTTGCTAAATATTCTTGTAGAACAAGGAAGATTTAGAAGGTGCTAGAAATCATTCTATGAATGAATCCGGATCTATGAATGAATCCGGTTTTAGGATTAAGCAAGTTGCCATGTAGTAAACCAAGAAGAAGAATGGAAAGAAATTGCTTTCGATAACATAGCTGAGCCTTATAATCAGGCCTTGCTCTGAAGCTTGGACTATTTCCAGATATTTTGGCTACACGAGAGTCTAAATTTCCTTTTTCGACTAAGCCAGTTTTGAGCCAGATTTTCTCTGACTTGAAACCTAAAGATTCTTAATATACATAAGTGACAACTTTGATTGTTTCATGCTCATCCTCGTATTCGTTTTTTTTTTTTTCCAGAAAGGCCACTGTGACAGTGGACCAGAGGAGACCACTTAACAACAGCTCATCACAAACCTCAAGCAATCAAAATCTACCTGTCAAAATCTGAGGAGACTTGGCTTGCATGATGCAGGGCCATGATCTTACAGAGTGTCCTGAAGTGTGTTTGACACAGGTGAACAGTGCTCCAGTCTGTTCTCTCTATGGTAGTCACAAAGCCTAATTATGAAGACACGATGAGATCACCGCAGGATCGGATCAAAAAGTAACAGCCCTGCTAACAAACCGATCAGCTTATCCCAGCACAATCTCACACGGACCCTTCTTGGGTTTCACATACATTAAACATTTTCAAAGCAATTAATAAATATTGGCTGCTTAGAGAATGATATTCTTCTCCGAGATGCCCATGTTGCCTTTGCTCACAAGAACAACTGCGCTTGAAAACCACAAAGTCAGCACAAATAAGGGAACTACGGGTTTTAATGCAAAACAATCTGCTGCAAAGTATAGTTGCAGCTGTCCCATGTTGAGGTGACAACTTGGATCTGAGCTCTTTGAGTTGTAGTTGTGAAGGATGGGCCTTTTGCAAATACCGGAGATTTTGGACACAAGGATGAGACAAGAGGGAGTCCCCAAAGGGGTTTTATCTAGAGAGTGAGAAAATGGGAACAGTAACCTCCTGCTTGTTATTTAGGGTCAGCTTCATGGATGAGCAACTTGTGCAGTTTTATAGGATGCTGTGCTCAGAATTAGCTCAGTAATCTGTTGTCACTCTCCTGAAATTTGAAATGCTTTTTCAGCAAGGGACTCTGCATTTTCATTTTGCTTTGGGCCCACAATTATATAGACCATCTTGATTGTTATAGATCTTCAGTTCCCTCTTTACTAAAGTCACACAAGGGCAAAAAGAAGAGAAATTCTACCAAAGACCTGCCTTAGATTTTCTGTTTCCTCTCTTTTTTGACTATCTATTCCTACTTGATTGCTTTCTTTGTGTTGAATAAATATTTTTAGCATGTCATTTAAATTTTCCTAGGGATTTACTATCATTTTGTGTTGTTTTTCAGTACTTGCTCTAGGATTGCAGGGTGCATTTTAATGTATCACAATTTTCTTTTGATTAATACTAATTTAATTCCAGAAAGTACAGAAACTTTAATATAATTCTATTCCCTCTTCCCTCATTTGTGCTGTTACTGTCATAGACATTAAATCTATATAAGTTTATATACCCAACAATTCATGGTTCACATTATTGTTTCCTTTTAAAGAAGTTGGGAAAACTGGGAAAAATATATTTATGGAATCTTTTATACTAACTCATATATTTATAATTTGCAGTGTCCTTCATTTTTTTTCCTTTGGCTTCGTGTTACCTCATGGTACCATTTCCTAAAGGGCTTCCTCCCTGCGGGATGTCTTGTAAGGTCTAATAGCAACACATTTGCTCAGTCTTTGTTTATCTGTGAATGCCCCTATTTTGCCCTCATTTTTGAAGTATGGGTTTGTTAGATGTAGAGTTCTTGTTGGATTCTACTTTCTTTCTGCAGGAAAGTGGATGTGCTGTTCTTCTACCCTCTGGCATCCATGGTTTTATTTATTTATTTTTTATTTCAATAGATTTAGGGGTATGAGTGGTTTTGGGTGACATGGGTGAATCATATAGTGGTGATGATATCTGAGTTTTTAGTGTACCCTTCACCACTGCAGTCCCCAATCCCCAGCCACAGCCCATTATTGGTCCATGGGCTATTAGGAAACAGGCCCTACATTGCCACCTGAGCTCCACATCACCTCCCCCCAACCCATGACACCCCAATTCCTATCCCCAGTTCATGGAAAAATTATCTTCCATGAAACCAGCCCCTCATGCCAAAAGGGTTGGGGACCACTGAATCACCAGGTAGGTAGTTTTTCTTCCCTAATCCTTCTGAGTCTCCAATGGCCATTGTACCACTTTATATGCCTCTGTGTACCCACAGCTTAGCTCCCACTTGTAAATGAGAACATGCGGTATTTGGTTTCTCATTCTTGTCTTACTTCACATAGGATAATGTCCTCCAGTTCCATCCAAGTTGTTGCAAAAGACATTATTTCTTTCTTTTTTATGGCTGAGTAGTATTCCATGGTGTATATATGTACCACATCTTTATCCACTTGTTGGTTTATGGGCACTTAGACTGATTCTGTGTCTTTGCAGTTGTGGATTGTGCTGTGGTAAACGTACAAATTGCAGGTGTCTTTTTGATATAAGGACTTGTTTTCCTTTGGGTAGATCCCCAGTAGTGGGATTCCTGGGTCAAATGGTAGGTCTACTTTTAGTTTGTTGAGAAATCTCTGCACTGTTTTCCATGGATAGTATACTAATTTACATTCCCACCAACCGTATATAAGCATTCCTTTTTCATTTCATACACGCCAATGTCTATTGTTTTTTGACTTTTTAATTATCATTCATGGTTTTAGATGAGAAGTCAGCTTAATTGTACTAATACTTGCCTATCTACGATGAGTAATTTTTTTCCTTGCTGTTTTCAAGATATTTTCTTTGGATTTGGCTTTCAACAGTTTGACCACCATGTGTCAAGGTATGGATCTATTTGCATTTATCCTGTTTGGGTTTCTTTGTGCTTCTTATATGTACAGATTAATATTTTTTTAAAAACTTTGGAAAGTTTTTGGTTATTATTTTTTCAAATAATTTCTCTGTCCCTTTCTCTTCTCTCCTGTGAGACTCCCGCTATGTGGCTGTGATGTGGCTGCTATCTTTCTGTGATCTCGTCTTACAGGTCTCTGAAGCTCTGTTCATTTTCCTACAGTCTGTCTCTCTCTATTCTTTAGACTGAGTAATTTTTACTGATTTACAATTCACTGATTCTTTTTTCTTCTCTCTCTCTCAAATGTAGGGTTGAACTCTGTAGTGAATTTTTTAAATTATTAGGTCATTCAATATAAATGTCTGATTTCAAATAGAAAGTTTAGTTTATTATGTCTCAAACAAGAAGCAGTACAATTAATCAAAGTATGCGCCTAAACTATCAACACAGTTTTGCCATCTTAACGGTAGCTTGCTTACGCCGGCAGCAAAGAAGCCTGGAGAATGAGTGGCGATAAAATCACAAAAGGGGTTTTCCGCAGCTTGTTGAGAATTGAATAATTTTCCTTGCAAGAAGTGGTCCAGAGCCTGGAGGAAGTGGTAGTCAGTTGGTGCAAGGTCTGGTGAATACAGTGGATGACAGAGAGTTTCCAAGTCCAGCTGCTGTAGTTTGAGCAGCGTTATTTGGGTGACAATCTCAGCTGCTTAATCACAAGCACCCTCATCATTTTGTCCAATGGGTTGCAGTAGACAACCGCTATAATGGATTGACCAGGTTTCACGAAGCTGTAGTGGATAATACCAGTGTTGTGCCACCAAACAGACACCATTAGGTTTTTCTGATGAATATTTGGTTTTGGACTCTGTTTCAGCACTTCATCTTTATCCAACCATTGTGCTGAATGCTTGTGATTGTCAAAAAAAAATCCATTTTTTTTTAAATCACATGTAACAATACGGTAGAGAAATGGTTCACCTTTATGCCGTGACAGCAAAGGCAGGCAAGCTTCCCGATGATTTCTCTTTTGTCCCTCATTTAATTCACGTGGAACCCATCCATCCAGCTTCTTCACCTTGCTGATTTGTTTCAAATGGCCCAGTATTGTTGGAATACTAACGTCAAACCTTGATGCTAATTCATGCTTAAGTTGAGATGCATTCGCTTACACTACAGCTTTCAGCTCATCATTACCCATGTGGTTCATTTTCAAGATTAAAATCACCAGAATGGAACTTCTCAAGCCATCAATATACTGTGCATTTATTAGCCACATCCTTCCCAAACACTTCGTTGATATTTCAAGCTGTCTGTGCTGTATTGGTTCCGTGACAGAACTCATATTTTAAAATAACACGAATTTTTGACTTATTCATGGTTTCACAAAATTTGCTCTAAAAGAATAATTTGAAAGCTAATCACAAGCCAAAATGTGTGTTTGGAAGAATGAGATTGTACCTTCACAATAAAAATAAAACAAGAAGTGTCAAAGTGAAATGTCAGAGATATCAACTGTCAAACTTAGTACTTAAGGAAATCAGACATCTCATACTTAATCACCTAAATAGTTATTGTACTCTTCACCTACATCAT